GCTTTGAGGGGGATTAGGTAATGTAACTTGTTAGCCGGGCTGAAACTTGTTGTCGAGGGTGAGTCTCTCTCCCAACACAAATACGAAATCGAAATCGGCGTCCTGGTTTCGTTTAAAGAGAACGCTAGTTTTCAACTAGAACCGGTTTATAAATAAAGTAGACTGATGCTGTTCTTTTTTTTTATTTAGGATTTTACCCATTTATTTTTAGCACCAAATACCAACTACACTTGATTAAATATTTCTGGCATGAAATTAAAAACCCGGCAACATTTTTATTTAGTCACCGTGAAGCAAACCACCTTGAATAAGCGGCAAAGCCTTCAGACTGCTGAAAATGGCCCATTGACCTTCTGCGCCCTTTTGAGCCATGCTATAAAATTTCAAGTGCCTGCTGCACAAGTTTTTGTTTTTTTTTTTTTGAATGTTGATCGTCAAAAGCGTGTTTTGGTTATTAAATGAAGCGCGCACTTAAAAAAACAAGTATTATTTTTTTGTACATACAGCAATTTTTATTGATTTTATTTTTTCAAATGCTTATTTTTAATTGCCGTTAAAAATAAATTCCTTCTTTTCTCTTCTCTTTCTCCTCCACAGCAATGACATGATGGAACCAATGACCGCATTGGTTTTGGCCTTCCAGCTGTTGGCTCTCTTCTCCATCGCAGGCGCGCTGCTCATCTACCTGATCTGCAAGGTGCGCGACGATGTCGCCGAGGTAGCCGAAGCGCAACCGGGCACTGTGCTAATCACCAGCGCCGACACCGCGCTTGGACTTCAACTATGCACACATCTCGCCAACAAGGGTTGTCGCGTTTTTGCGGGCATGCGCGACGCCCAAGACTCACTGCCCGCCAAGCTGCTCAACGGTTGGTTGAAAATGCGCGAGTACAGCGAGGAGCCAGTGCGTGGCGCCGTCATACCCATGCAATTGGATGTGACACGCGAGGATGTGCTGCGTGAAACGACCAACGCTATGGGCGCGCACATGAATGCGGGCGAGCGCGGCATTGCGGCGGTGATCAATACGAGCGGTAGCCTCTTTCGCGGACGTGTCGAAGTGCAGGAGGGCCAGCAGTGGGAGCATATGCTGAGGACGAATATATTGGGCTCGCTGCGTGTGGCCAAGGCGTTTGTGAGCTTCTTGCGGCCGACCAGGGGCCGACTTATCTACCTGGGCGCTGGCGCTGGCACACACCAGGCTGGGACGTCAGTACAGGACAGCGATGGGGGCTTGGTGGCATTCAACGCGACGCGCGCGGCAGTGGAGAAGTGTGTGATGGAGCTGCGCAAGGAGCTGCAGCCGTGGGGCGTGAAAGTGGTGGCGCTCGACACGAGCGGTATTACTGCGGAGGCGCTGTATAGAGCGCCAGTGCCGCACAGTGAGTTGTGATTTAAATTTGATAACTGCATATGATTCTAATATGTTACCCCTAATTTTTTATTCAATAGCCGCTGCTGAAAGTGAGGGCGCACCGACACAGTACTCGGCGAATGTGCTCAGCGCAAGTGCTTTGCAGGTGATTGAGCGCGCTTTGTGGGATGCGGTGCCGCTGGAACGCTACCAACTGGTGCAGTATAGTAAATTGAATTTCATGTTGCCATGTCGTTCATCATTGCGGATGACTAAATTGAGTGAGGGCGTCAAGCGCGGCGTGCAGCGCGTATGAGCGACGAGAAACGAGTATGGGAAGCAGGCAAGGAGCTGCAGTGTGCCTGAGAAGATATGGATTACAAAATTTGGGGACACTCCAAAAATTTGTTTCGAACAAATGTACATGTTTAATAATTTTTCGGTTTAAGAAAATGCAAAGTTTACATGGAAACTGCGGTAATTTTGTAAAATTAACAGACAACTATTCTCTGAATTATTTTTAATTATATTTGGAAGTTGTAAAAGACGCCAGTTAACAGCTTATTATTTATAAAAAGGAATGAGCTGCGGTCAAGCTACGCTTCGATTGGATCCCCCTCATAGCACTTCCCATGTAAACTATCGTTTTATATTTTTATTAATATTTCTATGTATGTATGTAAAAGTGCAACTTTTCTTTATTTTTTTATTTTTTGTAAATAATGAAATTTATAATTATACATTACTCTGCGTTTTTTAAGTTTTCTTCTTGTTTGTTACAACAAATAAAAAACATTTGGCTGCCACAATTATTAACCTTTACAAAAATATATGAGCTTTTACAAGGCACCCTTATTATTCATTAAAAACATTTGAAATTTTATTAAGGAAACATTGCCCGAGTATGCATGCGAAAAGTACCCACGCATAAGCATTTTACATAAATTCTATTCATATTTCGAAATGAAATCATAACGCAGCACAGAAGAGCGATATATATCACCTGCTACAGCGCTGGGTTTACCCACCGTGCGTCCGGGCAGGTGCACTAGCACATCTGCGCCAACAATGCTCTGCAAACGGCTACTCATCTACAAATAAAAGTGGCTGATAAAAAAAGATCTTAAATTATAAATAATCAAAAAGTTTACCTGGCTGCCATTCACCGAGGCGTATAAGCGACCATTTTTGCTTGTAACCGAAGCGCGCACATACTCCGGACGTGGATCAAGGCTAATGCTGTCGTTTTGTAACTGAGCGGGCGAAAGAAAAATCAAAGAACAAATTTAGTAAACGCATTAGCTGCGTAGAATAAATAGCACTATTTTTTTATCACTGTTTTTAATTTAGTCTTTGTGATATATATCAAAGCCCGCAATGGTTTCGTTGACTGATAGCAACTGGCGAGATATTAATTACCTTTCAAATAGGTATATATGTATATATTTTTAAGCCTACAAGTACGTAGCCACTTACGGTTATCGGCAAAGACGTCAATTCGCATTTGTCACGCTCCCAGCCAGCAAACCAACGTATTGCCGGCAAAACAAACAAGTGAAATGTGACGAATGCGGAAACTGGATTGCCTGGCAGCCCAAAGAAGTAGCGCTCTTGCATGGAGGCAAAAGTCATAGGTTTTCTAAATTTGGAATCAAATTAGTAAGCTGCAAAGAGGCCACGCTTCATAGCCGCTTACCCCGGTTTCATGTTTACGCGCCCGAAATTGATCGAGAAACCCAAACTCTCTAGCGCTGGCTTTATGTAGTCCTTATCGCCCATTGAAACACCACCGCTGCAGATAACAAAATCAACATGCTTGAATAAGTCTGAGATTTTACTTTTGACGATCTCGAAGCTGAAAGCAGAAAATTTGAAAATTAGTTTCTAAACGCTTTAAGTTTACTTTACGAAGCGCATACTCATCGCTTAGCACCAGTTTTTGAGCGCATTCGAAACCGAAATATACTAGCAGCTCCTCCAGCATAGTTGTGTTTGAGTCGTAAATCTTGCCCATTACTTCAGGTTGTTGTGGCGCTAGCAGCTCGCTGCCTGTTGAGATTATGCCAATTTTCGGTTTGCGTACAGCACCCAAATTTTTTCCCACCGATGCCAGTATGGATTTAATGACCACGGCTGAGTGATCGGCAGATGGAAAGAGTTTGCTGCCTTTGCGAAGGTCGGAGCCAATAGGCCTGTAGGAAGCGGTTTGAAATAAGGACATATTAAAACTATGATTTTTTGAGTACTTTTGACCAGCTTACCGTATGTCCAGATTGGCTTTGGGTTCGACTAAAATCTCGACCAAGTCCTCCTCGCCCGTTTTCTTCTTCTTCAGCAGCTTGGTGTCCTCCACTTGCACCACACAATCGGCATAGTGTGGCAATGGTGCGCCGGTGTTGATCTTGTAGCATTCATCCTCTTGAAAATCGTGCACGATTTCCTGCTTTTATATGCTTTAAATTACTCATGCTATCTACATTGAAAGCAACTATCTCACCTCATCACCCGCCGATATGTAGCCCAGTACTTTCTTTGTGCCTGAAAAGCCTGTCGATTTCATTGCATAACCATCCTTGATGGATGCGCGAAAGGGTGGTATATCTACCGGCGCCACAAATTCATTCAGCAGCTGCGCTATATCGCGCCTTTGTTGCACCGTTTCAAGTATTATCTCGAGAGCCTGCATAACCGAAATCATGGGGTATGGTGAATTTCTGTCGTTATCGTCGCCCTTGCCTGTCTTGTGTGGGCATACATGTCGGGTGGATGCTCCACCATCACCAGCCGCTTGCAACTCGGCATGTACGCGCCGCACCAACGGCAATTCATTGCCTATCAACTGTAGCGCATGGGGCAGCAGCTCGCGAACTACTTCAAAGCATTCGGTCACTGCCTTTTCGCTGCCGGGGAAATTGAGTATTAGTGTGCTGTTTGCTATGCCGCATACACCGCGTGATAAAGCAGCGAATTTGGTCTTTTGGAGTGACGCTTGCGCAATGTATTGTGACAGCTGCGGGCATTCTTTGTCCAATACTACTTTTGTGGCTTCTGGTGTGACATCACGTGGTGCAAAGCCAGTTCCACCGGTAGTAATAATTGCACCAACACTTGGCGTTTTCTGGGCTACAAGTTCACGTAGCTTCGCGATAATCTGTTCGCGTTCGTCCGCTATTATATCTGTAAGGATGTTAGCATTTTGGAATGCATCGCGTATGAGCGATACCAGACGAGGCCCACTACGATCTTTACTGGAGTCCTGGCTGCAAGTGTCGCTTACTACAAGGAGATATACCAAAGAAGTTTTATTGGAAGAACATGTAGCCGTAAAACAAAAAAACTCACTTGTTAAAACTGCGAAAACAATTGCATCCGCCATCTTCACGCTACGATGATTGCGGGTTTAATGCTTTAACAAATAGCAGCAGAGCAACTTATAAATAATTTAATCTATGTAAAAGAAAAATAAATAAAAATAAACACAGAACACGACATCAACAACAATTGTTGAAAATGCGAAAGCAGAGCAGAACAGTTGCAGAGCTTTCAAACAAGTCAAAGATAAGCGAAGCCGCGCTGCCCGCTGCCCACTTGTTGTCATTGGCCTCGAAAGCAGAGAACGGCAGCAGTGTCGTCGTCAGCTAACAACATAAAAAAATGCCGTGATTAACGTAAAAAAGGCAAAACGGTAAAGGTTTTCTCCGGGGAGAGCTAAAATATAATTTCGTTTGTTCTAAAAGGCATTAGGAAATTTAATTTTTAATGCGTGAAAAAAATTTTAAATTTTTAACTTCGAATACAACACTGCTTTTCGTTTCCTCTTTCCACCCTTTGACAATTGACTGCCTGAACGAAAGAATTGAATGTTTAGAAATCAGCTGTGCAATCAGAGAGAAAATTGGCAAATATTTTAGAAAATAAAAATTATTAATTAAACATAAAAGCGTTAAACATGAGCGATCATAGCTCTTATGATAACGTCCCCAAAAGTGAGGTAAGTATTCGTATTTTGCTTGTACTACTTGAATAAAACCAGTATGCTATCCTCAGCAACCACCGCTACTGCTACCTATCACATTGAATTGCAATCCAGCCACCAACCGCGTCAACAACATAACTACCAACGCTCCTGTAGTGGGTGGCGATAAAGAGCTCACGCCAGGGCGTTGCAATTTACAAAATTGGCTCGGTCATACATTCAGAGTTGTGATAACCGATGGACGCGTACTTGTTGGCTTCTTCAATTGCACCGACAAAGACGCTAATGTGGTTCTATCCATGTGCGCAGAATACTTAGAAGAGGGTAAAGATGCACGCATACTTGGTAATGTAATGATACCGGGGAAGCATATTGTTTCAATTGCGGTGGATATGCCCAGAGCGGCAGCACTATCAGATAAACCAAATGCTGCTTCAGCGCCGGATGTGCTATAGTGTGATAAGTTAAAACTGGCATACAAGAAAAACTATGCAATTTTTGTAAGTAGTTTAAGTCACAACTTTTATTTAGTTTAACATTAGCAAAAACAATAAAATAACAAAATCCGACTATGAACTAAGACTTGGTTTGTGTCGTTGCTTTGAGCTTCTCTTCAAGCGGATCAAAGCCCTTTTCCATGCGTTCCTTAAATTGTTCATATGTGCGTTTGCGGTCAAAGTGTTTTACCCATTGCCGTGGGCACGATCCTACGAAGACTTTGCGCAGTTTCTGACAAGCATCCGGCACCTTCTCACCACTTGTCGAGCTGTGTTTGGGTGCATATTCGTCGAGGCACCGCCAATATTCGTCACGCGACGCCCAGCAATGCGCACGCTCTTCTTTGGTGGGAAAACTCATTTGCACAATTTTCCTGTCCTTAACTATAATCTGTATAGAAAATTTTGTGAAATCTTATGAAAAACACTGGGAACCCAAAAAAACGCAATCGGCAGTGACATAACCTAGCAACTGTCAAAGAACAGCTGATCGCAAAATACACGGAAAAAGAAAATTGGGTATATATTTTAGATTATTATAAAATGGTGATAAATCGATATTGCCTTTTATTTTGATATGTAGGAATGAAATCACATTATGAAAATAAAATATTCACCTGCTGTTTCAATTTGAAATAAAATAATTATGTATGTACTTAATCGAAAATAATACGACGTTCTCTGTAAACACAAGATAACTCTAAACTATTTTCTAAACTATAATTGAGTATATGCCTTGATAAAAAGGGACGAAGGGACGGAAGTTAACCCTTGTTGAGACATCGGGCATTTAATGCATGTGATGAGGGTTTTAAAATTTTCAGCTGGCTGCTTTCTTTATCATCTTAGAGGCACTTGCTTCACTTGCACACTACCATGGTCAGGCAGTAAGTGCTTTGCAGTTCCAATACAAGTCTTCTTTAGTGACTTTTCCTGTGGTCGTTTGCTGCACTCATCAAAGTAGCACTTCTCTACATTATGTAAAAACTCGACCAGCATTTTGGTATCCCCGCCATTGGGTCCCACAAAATATTCACACTCGTAGCTGCTCTGCTGTTTCAAATCGCGTACACAGCAGTCAATAAACTCCGCATTTGCCGAGTACCAAGCATTCAAGTGTTGCATCGGTATATTTAATTTCTCACGAAGAATTCCTGTCACCCATGTATCATCAATCCAGAAAAAGGGATTTTTTTGTGCCTCTTGTACTAGCCGCAAAGCTGTCACTGGATTCGTTATATATAGCCAGCCAGAAAGGTAGGCTGGATAAGTGTCTCTTGGCCAATCTTGCTTCGAAACGTACCATTTGTTCACGGTATTACGTACAGGCGGCCTGTCACTGAGCACATAACCGGCTAGATATATAGGCGAAGCAATTAGATTCGGTTGTTGTACCTCAAGCGACTCCAAGTAGCGTCGAAAGTGGAAGACATCATAAATAATGTCATCATCAATTTTTATGATGAATTTAGCACGGCTACATTCGGTGGCGGCCCAGCGTAGTCCCATTACATGCTTGTAGCTCAAATTGCGATAAGCTTCCTGAAAGTTACCCTGCAGAAGGTCACCAAAACGTTCTTGCTCGTCGAATAGCTGCTTTTGTGTGATAAACTTTTCGGTGGGCGGAAGTGCCGCCAGCAAGAAGACGCGCTGCATACCCATTTCAGCCAGCTTACTTTGTGGTATAGCCTGGCGATGGGCAGCGCGCAACTCGTCATGACCTGCATACGATGTGACGATTATAATAGCTAAGGAAAATGAGAAATACCGCTGGTTTATGCTGTATATATGTATAATAAAAAAAATCGAGCTTTCCAGCGACTGCAAAGAACTTACCCAGCAGTTCCTTATCGTACTTGCGACACACATTATTGGGAGTTTCATACTTAAAGCTCGTGAAATTCACTAGCTGACTTAAATCTAAGCCAGACACTTCATTTTTTGGAGTTTCCTGTTCTTGTGAAAGGTCCTTTCCCAGTGGGGGTAGATGTGTTAGGAATTCATCTCTTTTCTCACCCGGGGCAAAGTAATCTATACAAATTATTACCACAATTACAACGGCTACGATTAAAGTTAAAAACTTATACGCAATGCGGCCACGCAAACGCATTTTTTTGCATTTTTTAAAATTGAATTAGGAAAAGATGTATTTTGCGCGAGCAGAAATGTAAACAATTGCAGCTGCTGCGTCCATTTAGAAGCTTTTAGGAATGTAGGAAAAATATCGATGTATCGATGTTTTGTTTGGAAGCGTCAAAAATTTTCCACTCGATGTATAAATTGTCGATGTCTCGATATTTTTTGAAACCTGGCGTCTCTGGTACATTCAACCGTCATTCCAGATTTTCAGTTGTACAAAAAAGAGAAATGACTTTGACATTATCAGAAAAATCCTATGCAAATCGATGCATCGATGTATGCCCTTCTATGCATCGAAAAATATCGATGTACATTTCGATGCATCGAATCAAAGAAAAACATCGATGTATTTTTGCCACTGACTTCACCAAAAGGTCCCACTAGAAAACTCTACTGTGAATGGCAGAATTTGACTTTTTGATGGATTTTGCAGTATTGAGGGATTCTTTACCGGCCGTCTTCACATGCTTGAAAATTTTGCTGGCGTCTCCTGGGAAGCCAAAATTATTCTCTCAAAGTGGCTTTCAACGGCCCGAGAACTAGCAAAAGAATTACAAAACTGGCAGTTTCGAACATCTGAGGTGGGGAAAAAGCTCATAGCGCAAGTATTGTTAATTGTTGTTATTGCATAAACAAGTATTGTAAAGTATTTGTTGTACAATAAAGTTAATTGTACTGAAATTTGGTCATCTTTAGTGTTTATTTAACAATCCAGCGAACCGAATTTTTTGGTAAATCTGTCAAGTATTCAAGGATAATAATAATAATAATGGTATAATTCCACCATGAAAGCCCTAGTTTTTCACAAAAAACATGTTATTAGTAAAATAGTCTAAATTTGTAATGAATTACTTTAACTTAGATAATTGTGTCTTTAACGAAACCTCACTTCATGTTTTTGCACAATTGAGATGGCAGTTTACATAAAAATAGATAAGCGCACTATTTATACATTGAGTTGAAAATTTTCGATGCATCGAGCTAAACATCGATATATTAGATTCATCGATGTTTTTCCGAAATCTCTATTGTCATCTCGATTTGTGCGATAAGTTGACCGCACGTGCATTGCCTTTTCGGGTTTTCAATCGCATTTTGGGGTGCAGTTGTTTGTTTTCATTATAAAATCGTGTTTAATAACAAACAAAACGAGTTATAACTTCTGTGCGCTTTTATTTTTGTTTCGCTAAAAAAAGAAGTTGAGAAGTGAGGTGCGCGAAAGTCAAGTGTGTTGCAATGGGAAAAAATAATAGGAAAAAAAATAAATCGGGTAGCAGCAATAAGAATCAGCAACCAGCCAATGACGCTGCCCACGCACCAACCCAGTCATCATCTAAACAAGTGCAACAGCAACAACAAACAACCTTCAAGCGGCCCACACTGACGCTGCAGAAACGCAATGAGCTTAGTTCCCTAATCAGTGCACTGCTCGAAATCGGTTTCCGACAGCCCGCAAACCCTAAAGAAGAATGGGATCAGTATTTAGAGATACAAGCGCTGTTGCACCGTGCGCAAATACTCGAAGCACCGCTGCGTCGCCCCACTTCCAATCCAAGTGTAGAGGCGCGGGTGGCCAACATCGAAAACTTCTATCGCTGGGCAGCAAAAAATGGCCTGCGTTACGAAGGTGTGCGTATAACACAATTTCAAGGCTACGAATTGGGCTTGGAAGCAACGCGTGACATAGCCGACGATGAGTTGCTTTTCTCTATACCACGCAAGCTGATACTCTCCGAAGAGAATTTGGACTTGGAAAATAGTCCAGCACAATTTGGTTCGATGTCCAATTTGAAGCTGTCGTATGTGTTAATGCTTGAAGCATTAAAGCCTGATAGTTTTTGGAAACCCTACATCGATTTGCTGCCGGAGAAGTATAACACAGTCCTATACTTTAATGTTAAAGAAATGGAAATGTTACGCGGCTCGAATGCATTACCGGCGGCTTTGCGTCAATGTAAAGCGATTGCGCGTCAATATGCGTTTCTGTACAATTGCACCGTGCAAGCGCCACGTGCAGATAAATTCAATCCGATGGGACAGGCGTTCAAGGAGCAGTTCAGCTATGAGTTGTATCGGTGAGTAGGAAGTTATTTGTACCGTTCGCAAATTGGGTGGGATGTAGCACATTTGTAGAAAGAATCGGCCTGGAATTAAACTGGACTGCCAGTACTTGTCCAGAGTTGAAGTTGAGCGATATTTGGAGGACACCAATACCCGTATATCCTACGTTTGAGTTTAAAGAAAACGCTCGAAATTTGACATTTTTTATTAAAAGAATACTTTTTTTTATTTATAATTGATATCAATGTATCATTTTATTTGGATTTAGGAAAAGGTATATCTAGTTAAATATATAATACACATTCTGTAAAACCGCTTATGTATAGAATTTAATTTTTTCGCTTAAGGATACTTTATTTTTTTATTTGTTTTAAAATTTTCATCAAAGCCAAAAAGTTTTGTGTAGCTAGCAAATATATATACATCAATAATAACCATTCTTATTATAAATAAAAGAAAAAAATAAATAAAATAAAACATGATAAAATTAAGTTAATTTAAAAAAAAAAACAAGTAAACCTAAAGAAAAAATATAAAATAAAATAGTAACGAACAAGGCACATTAAACAGGATGGAGCAGCAGGGCAGCTGATTTGAGTGTTTTCTAATTATTTGGTCTCTAAACTGTCAGATATTGTTAATTTTTTTGTAAAAATATTTTAATTGGCAAAATGTACTTGCATGTGAATGTTCAAACAAAGCGATGCCTTTAGAACGAGCATAAACGCTCATTATTGGGCCCTGCAAAGAATGTATTAATGCTTCTGGAATGAAACAAATTTACAAAGAAAACGTCGAACCAATTTTTAATTTTATTTTAAAAAGGTTACGTTCTCTTTGCCCTCTACGCACAAATACTAAGAAGAGGACAAAGAAAAGGCAACATTTTTTGTAGAAACGAAAACCCCATTAGATATCAGAAGGAACAACAAAATATAGGTAAATGTGGTTTTCGCTCTAATGTTACTACCAAATGCCTTGATAATGAATTGAATACAAAAGCAATAAAAAATATAGTACCAAAAATTATAAATAATTTTTCGGCAAATTTAGTTTAAATTATTATATATAATTTTGCTTCCAAAAATTTTGAATTGAAAATAAAATGTTATGATTTTATGTTTAAAAATGTTAAAATGTTGTTAAGGGTTACTTAATCTTGAAATACATATTTTCTGCAAAAAATTATTTTATATTTTTCTAATTAAATAAAATCTTTGCCGCAAACCGAATATTTAATAGAAAATTTGATTTCTAAACAATGTTAAATCCTTATAATACATTTCTCGTTCAAAGTTTCGCAATATTATTTTTTTTCAGTGTATATAAAACGTCTCTCGGTTTTCTTTTTAACTTTCTTAAGTCCGCAAACTCTAATTATGGGTTTGTCAGTGCGTTCAATAATTCCATTTCGTTTTTGCCGACAATTCGCTTTTACTTCCTTTATAGATTATTGTCATTAAAAACATTACTTGTTTTATTCTTAAGGTTTGGTATTGGTAAAATTTATTTTACTTATTTTTTTTTGTAAGATATTCTCTCAAAATTTTTGTGTAATTTTGCATGTAGCTATGCTTTAAATTTTTTTTTTTTACTTTTTTCTTTACACATATATATTTCTTGTAACTTTTTTTTGTATTTTAATTCAAATTTTTATTTTGTTTCCAAAAATGTTTAAAAATTATTTTTCGCTTCCGTTGTGTTGTCCAAAAACCCGCTTTTTGTTGTAATACTTAAATTTCGAACTCTTACGCTCTAAATTTAGTAAAAATTGCTCTACTCTTAAATGTGTAAATTTACGAAATATTGTTTTCTGCCTACTTTTAATTTTACTTTTTTTTTGTGGTTTCTTCTAAGGGTTAATACTTCGATATCTAATTTTATGGAATTCTCGTATTTTACACATATTCCTTTTTTATTACAGTTATACTCAATTTTCCATTTTGTTTTTTTTTTTTATGTTTGGCAACATTTTTTGTTTCTCGTATTTTTTTTTAATTTCTCAATCGTTTTTAAAATCTCTAAAACTTACCCAAAACTTATGCTACAATAAACCTCACTTCAACTCAACAGATACAACCCTGCTACCGCCCTTTAGTAGGATTTTCGCAACGCATCGAACAAATACTCTTGCACTTCCGGTGAATTTGGATCCATTGTGTTCAGCTTATTCGTGGAGCTGTTGTGCACGCTCTGCAGCGACAGCGCCAGCGATGTGGTAGAGCCGGTAGCGCTACCAATACCGCCACTGTTGCCCAGACTGCCGCGCGTCGCTCCGCGCATCATTTTGCTACGCCTGCCTGCGTCACCTCGACCGCAACTCAATTCCTCCACTTCCAAGCCGCCGCCGCCGCTGCTGCCACCTGCGCTGCAGTGTCGCGGAAATAGTAATGAACTCTGTCGCTGCAGCTGGTGCACCGGTGACACCGACACTGTAGAGATGCCTCCCACTAACTCTTCCATGTTGCGCAGCGAGGAGCGGCGCGACGCATTCGCCACAGTCGGCAGCTTGCTCTTCATCGCGTTGTAAGTCTTAGTGTAGCTGGTCTTCCGCTGACGGCGTTGCTTCCAGCGGCACACCACAAATACCACCAAAAAAGTGGCCAATGATGTGAGCACTATGGCGGCGCTGGCCACAATGGCGGAGCGTATGCCCGCCGGCATGTTGGCGTAGATGCTGCTATGACCACCAGCGGCGGTGGCGCCGGCAGTGGAGACGGCAGCTGCGGCGGGGCTGCGCTTGAATCCATGGCCAGAGAGTTCGAGATCGAGCAAATCATGCGCACGCGCCACTTGGTTTTCGATGGCTTCGACGGTGTCGATGGTGCTGCTGGCGCTGTTGAACGTTTTTTGTTGCGCGGCGATCAACTCTTGTTGCTGTGGCGGCTCAGCGTTCGTGTCTGTATTCGTTTCGTTGTCTAGCAGAAAATTGTTGTCGTCGAGCTCGGCAGAGGTACTCTCGAGTAGCATTTGGGGTGGGCGCACAAAGAAAGGATTGCGTTTAATAGATGCGTCGTTGCGTGTAGTGCTGGCGAGCGAAGCCAGCGCAAGCGTTTTCCAGGAGGGGAAGAAACCAACCGATTTATCTGTGCGTTGCGTCTGTTGGTAGGCGGAACCTGTGAGAAGAAAAAAGTAAAAGCAAAATGTTGTAACGGTATAGAAGCGTCTGGCGTGCGCGCGCACTTACATGATTTGTGGCAAGCTGCTGAGCCGGGCTGTGGCCGCCGCAAGTTGAGTGCGCGCATAGGCGCGTTCATTGCTGCCGCACTATTATTCGTCGTTCTGCGTCTACTTGCTACTTCTCGCTCGCTACAACTTCAACTCAGCAGTTCACCACAAATCGTGTTCGGCGTGCTGCTGATTTATTGGCGCTTGTGTCGTCTATCCCCCGCGCTACTACTTTGATAGCGCGTACCACCGCGGTATTGGCGCCGGCGGCGGTCTAACCGATTGCGTTCTACCGCACCTTTGGCGCCTGAGTTGTCCTTGTAGATCTCATCGGTCGGCTCTATGTCGATGATGGAGGTGAAGTAGCTGGCGCCTTGTGAGTCTGTCTTGATGTCGTCGGGCTTAACGCTCTTCAGGTCGATCAGATTGAAATGGGGAAAATTCTCAAATGCTGTAACAATGTCCATATTGTCGTGAAGAACGACCTTCTGGCCGGGAAAAAATCTCGAGCGGTTCTGCACTACAGTCGCCAGATGCAGTTGGCTAGAGCCGCGTTTGCGGTGCTCAATCAGCTCCTCGAGCGTCATGTTGCGCTGTTCGAGCACCTTGAAAAGTCGATTGCCGGAACGTCGATCTTCGATTAGCTCCAGTAGATCGGTGCGGTCATCTACACCGTCGAAGTCAGGCACGGTATCCTGGTAGGAGAACGTGTCGCCAGCGATGGCTGGCTTAACGTGATCGATGCGCGGCGTAATGCTCTCGACGGTGGTGGTTGGTTTTCCACGTCTCTTACCGCTGGCGGTCTCGCCGCCCAAGAAATTTTCGAGCCCATCGCTGTCAGGACTAGTTGGCAATGTGTGCGCGCGCGTATCATCCGAGTCGATGGAGTTCGTTTTGAAATTCAACTGCGCACGTAGTGCGGGTTTTGCGCTTGCCGTCGTTGGGGTTGCGCTCGCGGCGGAAGTTGTCAAAATGCTAGGCGTTGTTGTTGCGCGACGCACTGTACTTCGTGTGGATACTGGCGAAGACGTAGTACTTGTGGTTGTTGTAGTCAATGGTGTAGTTTCCGCGTGCAGGTCGTAACGTTCCTCATAGTCGAACTTCGCCGTGGATTGCACATTGCTCTCTTCCTCATCGCGCAAGTACTCTTCCTCCTGCTGCTCCTCGGTGTCTACTTCCGCCGCCGTTGGTTCATTCAATGTCGGCTCGGCCGCTGCTGTCAGCTCGTGTTCTTCCCCTTCTTCGTCGCCTACGGCTGACGGCTCTCTATTGTACCTGTTGTTGACTATGGTGGTGGTCAGCAGTTTTTCCTCTGAGTTGGCAACTTCCTTTGCCTCTGGCTCCGCACTCGAAGGCGCTGAAGGCATGGCGTTCTTCAGCAGGAAAGGTGGCTTCAGCGTCGAGCGCTGCAGGAAATTCTTTTTGTAGATTGGCAGCCGCGTTGTAGTGGTTGTTGTTGTAGTCGTAGTGCTGCTGGTCGCTGTCGGCACACCTGCGCGTCGTGTTGTGCTGCCGTACTGCGAAGTTGTGCCACGTGAGGAGCTACCAAAATATTTCAGACGCTGCAAGGCAGGCAACTTCAATTTGCTGCGCTGCTGTGTGTCCTCGATGTCCTCCGCTGGCACCTCAGTGGTTGCGCGCACCTCAGCGCCCGTATCGTCATCCGTGTATAAAGGCTTCGTCGATCCTGAGCCGCCGGTCGCACCATTTGCAATGCTTAGATATGGTATGCGACGTAACGGCTTCACTGGCCTACTATCCACTACTTTAGTTGGCGTGGGTGATGGCGCGGCGGCTGTGCTCTGCAGCACCTGTAGCGCATTCTGCTTACCCTTCAACAAATCGTCCAGCGACAAATTCTTTTGCTGCAGTATCTCACTCAGACTCAAGCCTCCCGCGTTCTTCAGTATGTGCTTCAAATCTACGGTCGTTTTACCGATAGTTTGCGTTGCGTCTGCGGCCGCTGGCAATTCAGACTCCTTTTTCGCTTGTGAGTACGGCCGCCGGTAAGATTTATCGCGCACGCTCACATTCGGCGTGTGCTCCTGTCGCTGCTTGTCGCGCAACTCGTATAGCTTCTGCTCCTTCTCGAGCGCGGCAAGTGGTTCGCGTATGGTCGGCTGTTTGCGCTTACGCGCCGCCAAACGTATGTCATCACGCGACTGGACTTGGCTGGGCTTCGCTGTGTTGTCGTCGTCTACTCGACCACGCCAATACTGCTGCTGTGCACTCTCATCGCTGCTGCTTGTGGGCGGACGTCGCGTTCGTGTGCGCGCGCTACTGGCCGCTTGGCGTCGACGCGATAATGCTGAGTGGTCGCTTGAGGTGTCCGTGTAGTAACTGGGCTTGTTGGATGCTCCTTCATCACCGCCGCCGACAACGAGCGAAGCACCAGTGCGGATCATCTGCAAGTGGAGAGAGAAAAAAGAGTTCAAATGTAGGTAAACGATTGGAGAGAAGAAGAAGAAGTAGGCCTATGTAACTTTGAAGGACACAGATTCAATTACATAAGTAACCTTATTTCTTATTTTTATCGTTTTTATTAGCTATATCGATGCCGTGATAGTCGCCAATGTTTTCATTATAATTAATATTGCACCGATATCGATATTGATATCGTTATCAGGAATGTTATCGCTGACGAAAATGTCAACGGTATGGCAATTAGCAATATAATTGTTATCGATAATTTTATCGTTATAGCGTTATTGAAAGTGTATATATGTATATATTTGTAGCTGTCGATATATATACAGCAATCGTTTCTTTACGGGAATTATTTTTTCACATGTAATTGAATTTTATTAATTGCTTGTCAGAAATTTTATCGTAATTTATATTATTTTTCCATTATTGCTAATATCGGTTATTTGTATATGAAAAATTATATATATTATATATTATTTATATATTATATACAGCAATCGTTTCTCTACGGGAATGATTTTTTCACATGTAATTGAATTTTATAAATTGCTATCGATTTTTAACCATAAATTTTGTTTCAATGTTATCGATTATTATAACTTTACCTATTTAAATAACTTCTCGATTTTAATAGCGTTATCGATATTGAAATAGTTAACTTTATACATGTCTTCATCTTTATAGGTTTTATTTTTGCTGTCAGAAATTTTATCGTAATTTATATTATTTTTCCATTATTGCTAATATCGATTATTTGTATATGAAAAATTGCCTTTAATTTCCCATCCAATAGCATTCGACATCATTATTTTTTAAATTTCCATTTCAGCAGACGCAAACGCACAAAAGCCTTTGCTTCGGTTTAATTAAGCTGCCTTTAGCTTCTCAAGACACTTACTTTATGCAATTATTTATCATTCATGCGAATAAAATCCCTCCAGTCAATACGAAACAATCTTCCTCTATCTCCCCTGCTGCTCAAATCTGTTCCATCATTTTCCATTCACTGCTCACTCAATCAGCTTTTGTTCCTCTCTACTACATAGCATCTTTGTGTAAGCAGATAGATATCTGTAACGCAACTACGAGTAACTACTTATCCGCTGCCTTTCTTCAACCTCGCCCCACTCGCTTGTGCGTAGACGTGTGAATATGAAATGCATTTAACTATTTGTTGATTGATTGAGTCGCTATGTATGTATGTATGTGTGTAGTATGTACATCACAACCCGCCTCTGCGCACTCACCCACTCAGCCACTACTTTTTCACTCACTCTACTCACTCTTAACTCCTCACTGCTTCACTAGCTTTGCAGCGCGCTGTTTGGTAGCGAATTGATTGCGGAAGTATTGCAGCAGCATACTACATATACTATATGTGTAACAAATTAAGTATTTCATCCTACATTGTTTGCAAGTAAAACAGAGGTGATGTTCGGGTTCTACCCCCACTCTCTGGAGCACAATTGCATCTCGCCCCCACACGGTGAGTGCATCCCTGTTGGTAAGTGATCTGTTAGCATACTCCCACATGTTTCGACTATACACTTCATACCTATAAATATATTTGTAGGTATGTGTGTAAATATGTATTTATAGAATATAGAAAATACATTTCCTCGATTTCCCTCAGGCATTTGCCGTCATTTTTCGTTGTATCTCGACTTAGTTTATTGTTTACTTGTACTGTTTGTTGCTCAGTACTCGAATTTGTTACTATTTATTTTTGTAATCTTTCCACTTAGTAACGGTACACTACTCACCAATACACTTAAGCATTATTTCCATTTCACTTAAGTGGAGACTAAAGCCTTTGGCCGTTCGCTTTAATAGAAATTTGCTTCTGAATGTGGGCTGCGAGGGTGTGAGCTCTGACGAGAAGTGCTCACTTGCTCGCTAGTTAGCTAGGTGAATTGGACCTTGGGGATGGCTGGTTGTTAATGGTTATTTGACCGGCAAAAATCATAATTCAAATTGCTTGCAAAAAGCGATTTTCATATTAAATTTATTGATTGCTGGGGTAGAGAGATAATTGCGTACAAGGAGAGGCATGCTATGCTGCTGGCTTTCGTAGTAGTAGACTTTGAGGCAAGTGAGCTTGAGGGTAATTTGCCTCGAAAATTGGTAAATACTAAAATGTATTAAAAAAGCCTTATTCGTTAGGCAAATTGTATTTTTATTTAGAATATTGCTTTTTTTTAACCTTTTTGTTGTTTACGTTTTGTTATATATTGTATATTGTTGAAATTTCTATTTTTTAATTTACTATTACTTAATTTTTTTTTCAATTTTACAAATTCATAATCTCTTTTTATTTCAATATTTTAGATACTTAAAATTTTTCATAATTACATTTTAATGTTTTCCTAATCTTACTGCCGGTTTCAAGAAAGCAATTTAAGTGAAAAATTATTTTTTATAGATAGGTTTAAAGGCAAAAATTAACAATATAATTAAAAAATTAAATTAAAAATTTTAATTCAAAAAATGTATGAACTGATTCCGTTTTAAAATTTTTAGTAATTTTGTTTATATTCTGAAATAGTTTAATCCAGAAAAAGTCTTGAATAAGGTTGTGACTTCTTAATTGAAGTTTATTATGTTTTTTAAACATGTATCAAACTAAAATTGTGTGTAGAGTTGCCACTTTTCAAATTAAATTTTTTATGATGTTGCTTTTAATACGAACATTAAATTAAAATTGTTCAAATATCTTACCTACCATTTATAATTTTTCGGGTTTTTTGTTATAATTTCTTATCTTTTTTTAATTTTTGAAAATATTTGATAAGAAAATTAAAATTTTTTCTTCAAAATATTTAATATTGTCATATTTACTGTCCCTAACATATCGATTGGCATTGTATCGATATTTTTGCAATTATTTATCGATATTTATTAAATATTGCTATTGTTATTTTCCCCATGTTGTTATCGATATATGTTTCTACTGATATTGCTTTCTATAGTTTTATCGATTTTATTGATGCTGATTTTTCCCACATTGTTATCGATCTACGCATGTCCTAATGTCGGGTCGAAAAACACAAAATGCTTGATACGAAAATTGTATAGGGTGCTACGGGTGCTATTTTAATCCCTTATTTTTGAAAAGAAATCCTGATTATCTGCGACATAATCTTCAGTCTGCGGAATGATGTTGAGAAGTTTAAAATAAGAGTGGGAATACCAATTTTTTTAAATTTTTACGACTTGTGTACCTATCATAAAATCATAAAAAAATAAATTGATCAAAATAAAAGTAAGTTACATCAATGTTGGAATAAACTAAAAAAATTAAGTATTAAAATATTGATCTTACTTACTTTTAATTTTCCCAATTTTTTTTATGATGTTATGATAGGAAACAAGTTCCGGATTCGGTGTACAAAAGTCGTTGTACAAATTTGAAAAATTGACATTCCCACTCTTATTTTCAATTTTTGACGCTCATTCCGCAGAATGAAGAAATTGTCGGGAGCACCAGGATTTCTTTTCAAGAATAAAAGATTAAATACCTATACATCAGTTATTTTGTGTTTTTCGACCCGCCCTAATGTACATACATATCTATGATACTGTCATAGTATTTTTTTTACCCGCATTGATATCGATATCACTATGGGTATCCTCATAAAAAACTTATCGATATTTGTACGGCGGCATCATTGGTTTTGTTATGAAATTTTTTGTTATTTTTATGAAATTTTTTCTGTGCACTTTTGCCTTTATTTAGCGCGCATAATGCGTACACTTCATTGAAACAAATTTTAATTAAAAAACTAAAAAAAAACAACGAAGAACAGCAACATGGCATTGATTGATGAGCTAGCACGCCAAAGCTAGTATTCTGATTGACCAACGCATGCTGATATGCTTATAAAAATTACTCATATGCATACATACTTTTACTTTTTTAGATTGCACTGCCAAGTACCGCAAAAGTCATAGACTGACATCAATCACATTGCGAATTCGCACTAAACTTTTTACTTAGTCCCACACATACGCACACACACACAAATCGTCGGCGCCAGCTCGACCAAACCAGCATTCGCGCTTTAAGAAAGCGATCCTTAAAATAAAAGAGTTCATTTGATTTTTTTTTTTAAATTCAGCGTACTAAATCTCCAGCATACTCTCTGAAAATGAACTGTAAAATCACAACTTCAAATTCGGCGAACCGTAAATGCCATCGACACTCAAAATGTCAACAGCGCACTTTTATACAAATACAAATAAAATAGTCCTCTTAGTAGAGTCACAAGCCCATATTTGATTTGTTGCTTAACGGTATTTACATATATTCAATGGTAAACGAAATTGAATTTCGGCGAATGTGAAAGCAAGCAAAGTGCTGACAACCCTGTAAAAGAGGGGAGGAGCGAAAGATTGACTAAAACCGTATTTTTTGCAGAATTGATTTTTCCACTGAAAAAAAAAAATATATATACATACATACATATATGTATGTGTGTAGTTACAATCGTCTATTTTAGTACATTTATCAACCGTTAGTTAACCTCGCCTATCAGCACAGCGTTGCAATTTATTTTGACAGCTCAGTTTTCAATGCATTCCCACTAGAGGTTTACGCCGACAGGCTTTGCGGCGGCGGCGTGTTCAACTTCAAAAAGAATCGGCGGCGGCGGCGACGCCGGCGCGTCTGGAAACGCCGGCGCTACTGCCCATAAGGTAGAGTCCAAAGAGCCATGAGGCTTCTAATCTCATCATGCCATCAGATTATAATTCTATTTAATTCAGTCATTGAATTCAAATGTTGAGTGACTTTTGCTGATGGATGGGCGAACAGAAGAAAGTCTATATAGTATATACATTAGGTTTCCCATTGAAAATGATTTTTTTTGAAAATTTAAAGACGTACGGTCTAATTTGATTCGTTTTTATGAGAAATATTATTGCCTATTTTTATAGATTTTTTAAAGGCCATTTAGAGGTCGCGGCCTGTCGATTTAGG